GGGGGGGAAGGAGACGGGGAAGTATATATGTCGGCTCTTGAATAGTGCTCGCTAGCTGGTATCATCTTACTGTCCTTGTTGGTGTTTTTTTGTAGAGTTGGTGTGTTTTTCTTCCTGGTGATGAACATGATATTCGGAAACCTGTCAGCAGTGGAACTGTTTATCAAAGAAAGGCCAATATTCATGTACGTATATTTTTCTGGTTATCATAACAGGAGTATCCTCTTTATGACAATCAGGTCGTCTCCTTAATTATAGTCTTCTTGTCTACACTCTCTTGTCAGCGAATTCTGTCATTGAAGTTAAGAATTCTCACGTATCTACCGGCTCCATTGATTGCGTTTATAGGAAAAAGAGTCAATGACAAGTCCACACATTTCCAAATATAATTCTAAATATTTTAACCGGCACCAATCGTAATTTTTGTAATTCTGACATTAGTCTGTAAACCTGCTCACTTTTACGTTGCACCCTAATAGGCAAAGCTACACACTTAAGTTTTGTCTCTTTCTTTTCTCAGTCACGAGTCTGCCAGTGGCTATTACAGGATCTCGGTTTATTTTTTGGCCAAAGTCATATGTGATCTGATACCATTGCGACTTGTTCCAATCGCTGGATTCTCAGCTATTGTCTATTTTATGACAGGTATGGTGTGCTAGTCAGTGATAGGTACTCAGTGTCCACTACTTTGTCAGACTCGGGTTGTTCAAAGGTGGATAACAATTTAAGTGTTGTTTTGTCAACACTTTATAGGGATTTATTCAACCGATAGAGTCATCCGTCCTTTAAAAAGTAATGAAAAGTGCACGATTATAGTGGTCAACGCTGTTAGCTTCTATCTAGTTTTCGGACATGCCACTCAAACAGACGAAGCAAATAGCACAAAAATATAAAACGCCTTTTGAACAACCAGTAGTGCCTAGCGTTTTGTATGTATGAGCCAACAAACAATAAGGCATTACTGGCTGAAAATCACAAAATATCCATTTAATTACTCCTTCATCGGTTTCGTTAAGCTTACACAGTAAACACTGAACTCGCCAACGATTTTTCGTCTTTTCGTACCGTCCCCTGGGTTCTTCGTTATCGTATCAACAGAGTAATATAGTGTTTAATAAATTGCTGCCACAATACCCGAGGTAGACTATCTAGTAAAACGCTTGTTCCATGGGCACTTGTTGGATATGAGCTGACTATAACCAACTCAGAACTGCGCATGTCCAACACGAGCTCATGGAATGATTTTTCAATACTTATGTGTTAGTTTTAATACTAATGTTATTTTCATGTCACAGGTCTGGATACTGATGTTACGAAATTTCTCATTTTTACCTTGACACTACTTTTGACCTCCCTTTGTGCTTGTGGTGTCGCTTTCTTTGTCAGCGCATGCGTACGGACCTTCGCTATAGCTAACCTCCTTATTGCCCTGCCGTATGTCTTCATGATGGTATGTCAATGTTTTTTTTCACGTTGTCTCATATGTTTAAAGATTGTGCATCCCTGACTCTCTTTTCTGGGTTTAACCCTTATATGGAGCGAGGAAGGGAGGTACTGGACCACAGTCAGTATTACTATCATTGGATCCGGAGAAAAAATTCGCATGTCGCGCTTCAACCAATCAGAATGCAATGCTGTTGTGGCCAAACAACCTTCGAAACTTAACCCAATTATGATTTAGATTACATAACGTTTCTTTGTTACTATACACCCTATTCATAAATGGCTGCCAATTTAATATTCTTTTGTATGTATTAAAATTAGCCCAACTAAGCTCGTTTTTGAGTTGATAATTTAAAAGAATTGTTACTCTCAAACAAGGTTGGTTGGGCTAATTTAAATGAACAGGGTCTATAGCTTTGCCATTTCTTAGCTACAATAGTTGAGAAGTTTTCCGGGATGATAGAGTTTTTAATAACATTGTCAAAATACCATTTTAGTCTCATTAAAATGATTGTGACTATCACGATACTGTAAATAATCCAAAGCTTTGGCAATTTCTTTGCTTGTCATGTTATCAGTTCAGTTGAAATGGTCAGTTGTTGTGGATCAGCACAATTACCGCCTTTTTCTTATTTTTGTCATAGGTTTTTGGAGGGGTGCTTGTGAATCTAAACTCTGTCCTTGATTGGCTCTCTTGGATAAAATACGTCAGTATATTTCGATACGCTATAGAGGTAATACATCAAACTCTTATCCAGTTGGACCCCGCTAATTCCAACTCCGTTATTTTGAATTCCTCGTTATTTCAAACTCAAAATCATTCCCCTTGGATTTGCCCTTCAGTCATTTACTATCGGCTATATCGAACTCCCGGTATTTTGAAGTAATTTTCGTTTCTTTTGAGAGTTCGAAATGGCGGGGTTCAACTGTATTCTATTTTTGGAATGAAAGGAGGGTAAACGTTACTTTTATCATACCAAGACTCCAGTGCTACTCTTCCCAGCTTAAAAGATCTCAGTCACGCTAGTCTGAGTTATTCTGTCCACGCGTAAAATTATCTTTCAATTGAACGAAACCTGAAAGTAGTGGCTTACTAAGAAAGAAAGACACCAAAGAGACAGTAATAAATCATAAAGGAACAAATATAGTTAAGGACAGAGAAGTACAAACGACAAGCTTGAAAAACTTAGGCTAAACTTGTAAAGATGCGCAAACCGTGACGTAGCAAAGCCTAACTTTAACTTCTGAAATTGTTTTCTCTCCATTTTAGTCACTTGAAATAAATGAACTTCATGGAATGAATTTCACTTGTCCCAGGAATGCTAGTGTCTTTGGACAATGGTATGTATGCCTAAGCAAAAGCCACTGTCAAAACTTGCAGAAAATAAACGTTTTAATATGTGTCATTAAATATCAAACCACTTACAGCCTTCGCATACTTTTTTCTTCTTTTCACTTTTTTGTTATTAAGTGTAAATTTCCATTTTGTGTGAGATACAGTTGTCTTTTGGTTAATACAGAATTCGCTCCAGAATAACACACATACATACATATTTTAGTGAACCTCCCCCGCCATTGGGGCTTTTCAGGAACAGTAATGGTGCTGTTAGACATGTCCAATAACAGGCCCAGCTTCGAAACCTTATCAGCTGGTGTGTTTCTGTGTTATTGTTGTGCATAGCATTGTACTCTCAAATTGCGTCTCCTGCTAAGGTCTTTGTTCCCAGCAAACTGTACCGCTCCACACCATAGTTAATAGAGGGGTATGGCTATGAACCTCGACAAAGTTCTTTGTTTTATGTTTTTGTTGTCTTTTTTTGCCTTGACCATGTACAGAACACAATAGTTGTTTACTACTGAGCGAGGAACTAACCAATCGAAACGTTTTGGTTACGTAATTCATGCATAGTTTATGAATGCAAAACAAAAGATTGTGGTCGGTCGTGGACCTTTTAACATAAATCTTGGTATCTTTGCTTGCCCCTTTGATGTTTGCCGGGCTTCATAACCATTCCCCTCTATGCCCACACTAGACGGTCATACCAGTACTCAAAGTTACTTCATGTTAACGAAACGGTGGTAAACGTTTGAGGCGCGTCTAGCTTCATTCTAGACATTCTAGAACAGCGCACGATTGAATCAGTCCTAACTTGTTTCTTTGCATTTTTTTTTTCACTCAAGTGTTAGTCGAGGAGATGAGTACTTGGCATCGCAAGGCATTTCCGTGAGTGATCTGTGGTACAATGAAATCGCCTTGGCCTCAATGACGGTTATTCTGATGACTTTTGCTTACATCGCCTTAAGGTTGATAAAGAAGGAGAAGTAAACAGTAATTGACTCATTCTTTGCTGTTCAATTGCTACATAGGATATATTTATATTTCGGGTAGCGCATTGAAATAAATTGACAGCACTGTGAGTCAATATACGTGGTGATACTGTGAACCTTCATACAGTATTGCTGAAACAAACAACTTAACCAAGTATGTCCCACACGGGACGACGAGGATTAAAGAACGAAAAGTATGTAGCACATATGCAATTATCAAAGGTTATGTTATAAGAAAGGAAGATAGCAATCTAGGTCACTGAAGTCTGAAATGATGAGCAATTATTGCGTATATCTAAATATGTGAAATGAACTCCATCGAATATTAATTCTTTGTTAGCTTCTTTTCGTAAACAAAATTTTGATATTTAATGAGTGAGTGTTTTCCCACTAAAAGCCGTCGCTAAAAATTGATTATGTAGGATAGTACAAAAAGAGGTCAATTTTTTCTTCAATTTGATCATAACACTAGTGTAATTACCTATTCTAAGTCTCTTCGAGCTTGCTTCCAAGTTCTGTGTGCAAAAAGGAGTATATTTTTTCGCAAAGATGTGATAAAATTCTACGTGAGGTGCTAAATAGTTTGTTATAAATGCAGGACATATAGGCTTACCTCGAAAATTTCTACTCAAATATTGTTTTCTGATTGGCTGAGTTATCATGCACTATCAGCCGCTAGTATGCAGTGGCTGAAGGTCGTCCACAAAATAGCAGGTTTTTAGTTTTCCCAAAGTTTGTGAGGACGTTGCTGGATAATTCAATTACCGACAAGACCAAAATAAAGACATCCACAGTAATGCGACTTAAAAACCTCAAACTGTTAATGAATGTGCGTGACGTTTGATACTACTTCATATGCAGAAAAATAATTGTAAATTATTTTTTGAAGGAATTTAATAATACTACTAGTAGTTCCTCCCTTAATCCACTTTGCTTCTCCTCTAATTCCCATGTACCCTTTCCCCAGCATCGCCCACCAAAGCTCTTCCCTTCGACTTTCCCTTTGACTCCACTGTGCTGTCCCTCTAATTTCCACATCGGCCGGTTTCTTAGTTCTCCAGGTTTGTTTTTCAAAAACTCCCCTAATTATGATGTCCTCCCATGCTCCTCGTCCCAACACGCCCCCCCACCCCCCCGCAATAATGACCATTTTAATTTTGCAAGAGACGATGAACATTTTATTTGTTAGGTACTTGCCTATAACAGGAAATAACTTTTACCATCCACCCTCATAACTCCTGCCTGTGTCTTCCTTCTCTGAGAGGAATTTTTCAACCACTTCGCCACACTATACACTAATGAAAATACTCAATTCTTTCCTCCTAACATATCTTGTTGGCAGATCAACTCCGTCGGTTACCAAAGGAAGTCGCACCTTATTAATAAATAAGTATTCATTGCACACGTCTTTAAAAAGATTAGAGTTTTTCCAACTGTCAGTTTGTAGTTCGCATCTCATTTGAGCACACTTGCAATACATATATTTTTACGAATAAAGTTTTACTACAGCCATCACGATAGCTTGAAGGCTTGTTTTAATCTTGTAAGAAGTTCCCAGACTTCAATTTGTTGTTGTCCTTTTTTAAACTGGGATGTTTCATCCTGTTTTAAGCTGCCCCTTTTAAGAGCTATCCTCGTGGTAGTGCTGACAGTAACCCGCGGCGAATCTGAATAGAAAACAACAGAGGCACGCAAGGCGTGCAAGAGTTATTTTGTGTGCGTTTGTGGTTAAGAGGCATGAAATGGCGCTGTTAGAATGTTTTTGTGTAGTGGATTTTATGAAGTGGGAGAGATTTAGGATGGTATATATAGCAATCCAAATTGTTTTTTACGATAACTGCAGAAATTCTGGCGCGCTCATTGGCAAACTTTCATTTTCAATACGTGGACAGACAGACACATTGTCAAATTAGTTTGCGGATCCACAGCTACTTTGACAATGTTATGACAAAATTTATGATCAATAACAGGACAGACGCATGAAAAACTGACGTCTATTTGTTAGGTTAGCTATCGGGGCTGGTTGTTAACGATCTACATACATAAAATATGTGGGCACGAAAAGTGGTGCAAGTATTCTTTGATGTAAATGTTTAATCTCATATAGCTGTCACTGATTATTATTTTCACTTATAATTTAGATAGGACCCTGCGCGCGCTCTGATTGGTCGAAACTCATGTTTTATCAGAGTTTAGAAAACAGCCCTAAGAAAATACGCGCGCTGATTGGTTAAAAATCGTGTTTCTATCCGGCTCGATGGAAGCACAGAACTAGCTCGAGCTGTTGACGTAATGATGGCGCGTGCAAAGAGAATTTACATTTTGATGATCAAAGTAAACAAGTTGTTTTTCTTTTTTTCGTGGCGGTGTTTCCTAAAAGAAATAGAAAACATGTTCACCCTGTTTCTATCAAGTTTTAGTATAAATCTACTAGCCTTCTATCACGAATGCCGTTCTCTGATTGGCTACACTACCCACTATCTATTCTGTGATAGATAGTGAGTAGCGTAGTAGTGCGCCCTTGTTAACAAAAAAACGGCCGCTTCTTTGCGTTTTCGAAGTGTCTGTGAAGAGGATTAAGATAAAGTTTTGAACGACTATACTTATACTAAAACAGTTAGATTATTCGCTCTAGATTTCTATGCGTGATAGAAATCTCGAGCTCGTAATCTAATTGTTTAATAGAAACACTCATGAAAGTTTGGGAGACCTCGAAAAAGCTGTGGAAACCCTCGCCTGCGGTTCGTGTTGCCACGATAGAAACACGGTACATGTTTTCTATTTCTTAAATAAAACATAGAAAAAGCGTGTTTTATTGTTTTTCGCCACATTACCTCTATATCATGAAGCAAATGAAGAAGCCTAAGTAGTGTATTACGCTGTGATAAAACACTCCGGACGTTTGAGAACACCGAGAAATGTAGAAAATGTTTTCTACATTTCCCTTGTGTTCTCAAATGCCCATCGTGTTTTATCACAGTGTAATACACGGCTTAGGCTTCTTCATTCGTTCAATCAGTTTATCATGACATGCGCAACTCCATACCGTCATGTCGAAGAATAATAGGCGAGTGCGCATGACCAGAAATATATCACAAGACTGCAGGATAATCCAACAACTGGCGTGTACCATGCTGAAAGAAAATATTGAACATCAGACCAGATAACCGGCGGGTATTCAACTCTGAGCTGCTGTTCGAGACTTCTTATAGGAGCTTATCAGTAGAGCATTGTAGTTTAAAAAGTGAATAGGTTAAATTGTAAGGCGACATGTAGATGAGGAAACTAAATCAAACAGTCGAGCGCCAAACTGTAATTAACTATAAAGAAAAAAATGCTTCATTTATTGCATCGTCATCTACCAAATCAAGCGATGACGTTTTTTTGCTAGACCAATCCTAATTTGCTAGTCTAGTAATAGTCCAATGTAGTCTAGTCTAATTTACTGGATAATTCCTGTTTTATAGAGCGGCTTTCACTTGCGTGCCGAAAGTAATCAGGCAATTACTTTAGTTCTGGTTTTTCTGCGGTTTGGGATTGGCTGAGTAGTCTGTAATTGGTAAATAATTGGTTTGGTTTTGGTTTTACGACACTCAATTAAAAGTCACTTAATTGGTTGTTTTATGTGCTAATCAATAGAAAGATGCGCCAATTCGGAAATTAATCTCATTTGTAGCTGCAACAACAAGGCTTACATCCAAAAGCTTGTTATTGAACAGAGCTGATGCATATATTCACGACACGAAATGGCAACCACTCACCCATACTTTCCTCCTCGGGTGTGTCACAAATCGGTTCATCTTCATCACTGTTACTCTCCCAGTTGTCATGGTAACGTTGTATGTTAATGAGCGGTGGAATAACAGGCTTGGCTGGTAGGCTTAGAGTACGCTTAGAACGCTGGGTAAGTAGACTGGGTTGTCCGAGCGGTTTGAGGGAATGAGACCGAGTGTTGCGCGCTCTCTCTTGCAGGGACATTACGTCACTGTTGTAGTTTAGCTGCAATAGAAAGTGCAATGTTTTGAAATACAAAAATATATAAACCTGCGCTGTAGAAGAGGAGAAAAAAGATTTCAAGATGACCTTATTAATTCCATACCAATAAATTGGTTTAATTATTGACAAATTTTTTTGCGGATTCATTAGCTGACAGACTTACAGACTGACCCACTAATTCACTTAATTTAGAAACTGGGACTCAGGAGGAAGGATTAGCTAGGCTTGCAGCAGGACTGGCAGCAGACTTAATTGAATAACTTATAATGGCTCACCCTTTCAAAGGGGCAACCCGGGGAGAATCTTATTTAGAAAAGGACACAGATGCTGGTCGTAGAATTGGAATTAAACCCCTAAAGGAGAACAATGTTAGCGTGGCTCAAGCTTTATTTGACTCTAAGAAGACACCACCAAGCGAGAGTTGTAGTGGCTAACAACGCTGCCATCGTGTGTTTTCATCCATAAACAAAAAGCACCAAACACAGCAACCACGTGTACAAACACAGAATAACGATTATGATGGTGACGAGGAGGACGATGATGACGATGATGGTGTTGTTTTCTCTCTTTGCGTGCAACCCTGTGAGACACCTTCACCCTGAAAACCTAACTACTACCAAAATCTTCCAATTTACGCAACTAAAAGAAAACGCGAGCATCCCGCCCCTTTCAGTCACGAGGGATTCCTACTACACAACGGCACAGTCTCTATAAGCGGAGTTCAACGTTCTATATTTGCAACACGTACTGGCAACTGATCATTCCATCCTATTTGAATTACAAATTGCGGAACACTCGAAGTAATGCAAGCCAGTTATTATACTTTCAAAATGCTGCTACTATTTTTTTTCCTATTTTACTGAGAAATTTTAAAATTCCAAACAAAATACATAGCCCAAAATTACTTGAACGCCTGACATTCTACAAACGTCATGCACGCGCAAGTAGTCATATACTTATCAGTTACTGACTCTTCGGACATAACAGCAGCTAATATTTTTATTTAAATATGCGTACAGCTGACTTCCCGTTGCAAGATAAGTTGTAATCTTTGAGTAAATGACAAAAATACTGCTACCTTGTAAAAAGTCAGCCCCCGCATTCTTTTCGACGATTTTTACAGACTTTGCGAATCAAAATTTCTAACTGAAAATATTGAGGTTATGATTTCGTTCGATACACGTGACATTATGTCAGAACTTTAAAATTTCACAGAAATGTTTTGGATTTTTTTTTCACATGTATAATCAAAATAAAAGCTTACCTTCGATACTGAATTTCGTGCGAAATGCTCAGTCGTCTTGTCTTGACTGATCTGGCTTATCTGATTGCAATGTACAATACTATTATCTATTCACTATTAACATTCAGGCACGCAGCACTTACGATTTAATCGGTGCTCTAAGGTGGAGTGGCTTGAGGGCTTTTCATTTCAGTCAATTTAAATCCTTTTTTTTCTTTGACGGGATTAACGTAAGCTCAGATCATAAAACCTTCGTCATGGCCTACGTCATGCGCATCATCAAGACAAATTTCAAGTCGCCCACTTTCCGATCGATAAAACAAAGGGAAATTATTCGCATGGGTTACTTTTAAACCTCTGGTATATTAGATAGAATAAGATTGTATATCTTGAACGTCGATACGACTTACTTGACTTTGTAATGAACTTTTTTCTCAAGAAGAGTTTAGGTGGTGCTGTGTACCTTTGAGGCTCAATGTAATTCCTTAACGACTCAGAAAATCCAACAAATGCATCTTCCCAAATTAAATCGATTAGTGAAGGTGGCCTTTGTATCACTGCTG